AAGGAGAGTGAAATTTCATTTAAACCACCGGCCCCCGCAATTGAGATCCCAAGGGTTCACATACGTGTCGTTCCATCGTCGGTTGAGATTTATGGGACACATAGAATAGGCCAATCTATATATTCCAGACCCTGCAGTTTCGCAAGTCGACGTGTAGAGGAAGCATGATATAGACGCTACCACGAATTGAAAGTCCGGGCCCTGAATTTCCATACATCCATCGCGCTTTTCGGAATGTATCTGTCAGGGAAGACGATGTTGTCGGCACGCCCAACCCAATTCCTGTAAAATTCGTTGTCCACGTCGATCGCAAAATGCACATCGGCGAGGGAGATGCCGTATTTGAAGGGAGCATTCGGCGCGAGCTTGCTTATTGGTCCCAGTCCGAATGTGTTTGAATCCCACGCCTGCCTGGAATGGGGGGTTAGCCAGGGTATTGAAAGGGAGAAGAACGTAACACGCCAAAATCCACGGTGTCGGGACGGGCATCAGGGAGACTGCCGCGTGCAGGAAGTGCCGTGCGGCAGAGGGAGTCGTAAAACGGTATGCACGAGTCAAGGAAGGGAGCCTCGAGAGCCCATGACCATGATGTGTGGGGGGGACGGCCCTTATCGCCCAGTGTACCCAATTCCCTGGTGGCCCTGCGCCGCGTTCTCGTCGCTTACCTCGTGGAGATCCTCAACGGACTGACGTTACTCCTATCCACATACCCAGCCGTTCTTGATCAGGCGCGACGTATGTTTTGACGTCGCCCGCGGTGACCGATGGCGGCGGAGACGCGGGGATGGGAGGTGCGGGGGGTAGCGGTACAGGCTTGATTGGGACGCGTACCGGGTCTAGGGGTGGCGGGACAGTTTTCGCAGCTTGTTCGGCGAGCAGGGCCTCCAGCCACCCCAACAAACTGACCTTGAACCGGCCATCCGTCACCTGTGAAGGCATTTCGACCCCGGAAACAATATTCCATCTCAGCCTCAACTGCAGACCGGATGACGCTCCGCGTGAGTCCCTCCGGTGAGTGGAGCGAGACACACTGACTACGAGGTTCTCCCCCATGGTGGGGCAATGAATATCTGTGTCCAGCAGAGGTAAAGATAGGAATCCAAAGGACTGACTGTTAACTCACGTCCCCAGCGAGTACATCTCGTGCAATTTCGGTTAATGAAACCAAATTCTTGGAATTCGGAAACAGGAACGTTGCTTTCTCGACACCACCATTCGCCACCCATATAGGTACAACGATGAGAGGTATTGAGGGAAGTCAGAGTCGACGAGAGGTGCTGTGGATGCTTCCGGGATAGGCAGGCAGGATGGTTAGTGATGTTCTGGCTTTGGCCTCGGGCCAAGAAGCCGGGGCTTTTTGGCTTTGGTACCAAGGCCAAAGCCAAGCCAAAATTTTGGCCTGCCTTGGCTTTTGGCCTGGCCTGGCGATCTCTCAGGCCAAAGCCGGGCCAAAAAGCCATGGCTTTCGAACCTCCCACATTGTGCTGGATATCAATCACTCACTTTCATTGCAATAAATTATTATGAGTGCTGTTGAATCATCCCGAGTCTCAATTCAGATTTTCTAACCGATTTGTCGATAAAAGATGTGTCGACAACATTGCAATGTTGTGATAATTAAATTCCACACAGGATTCGGTTGAAGGTTTGTGGCCATATTTGTGGATGTCAGTATATCTGCTATGCATTTAGAACATACCTTATAGTATTCTGACTCCATCCAAGCATTGGACATCCAATTTTGAGCTGATTCAATTTTTCTACCAAAGCTATGGCCCAGGCCAAAGCCAGGCCAAGCCAAGCCAGGGCCAGATATCTTTGGCCTGGCTTACAATTTCAACGAGCCAAAGCCAACCCAGGCCGGGCCAAAGCCGGGGCTTCCGGGCCAAGCCAAAGCCAGAACATCACTAAGGATGGTTCAAGGGGACAGACGAGAAAACGGAAAGCATCCAACACACCTCCGATATCAGAGAGTCGACCCGGTGTATGTTCGAACAGTGAGTCCCCATGGGTTTGTGAAAACGCGAGCAGCGGAGCCTTGGCAGATGGCCCCAGCGCGGCGCATGATGGAGGACTCAGGAAAGATTTAACTTTCTGTTTGACTCGGCGTGCGCATCACCTGATCGATCGTTCCCACGCAGTCTGTGCCACCACTACTCATCCAAATCCCAGAAAGATACAGGCGAGCGTCTCTAGATCTAGTGTTATTTATTCTAGCCGCCAATCCCCAAAATTTGTGAACTACATTTTTCGAGATTCGAGACAAGGTCGGGCGGAGAATTGGCCAATGCTGAGTGACTCCGGCCTCTGATGACCCCTTCACGCCGTCGTCCTCGAAACGGAGAATTGCTGGAGCCATAAAAAGAACTGCAGTCACGGCACCTTCAGTGACCGCGATAATGGGAAGATAGATGATTCATGATAATATATTTAATCGGAGCATTCATTCCATTTCAGCCATTCCCTTCATCGCCTCTTATCTTCATAATCTTCCGGCTGTGGTTCTCAGGGGTCCCATTCATTATCCAGTGAGTCCAGCCTTATCTTTGCTCTCCCATAACATTTGTGTTCAGTCCACTTTTGAAGCTCATTCTCGTAATTAATGTGGAGGATTACAAATGCTGTCTAGAGGCTTTGTGCTTCTTGAAGTACCACAGCTGCTTCACAGTCTTTGGCACAAATAGGGGCATTGGTGAGCTGGTATCTATGCACCCCGTCCAATTCTTTACAATCTCGTTGTCGAGCTGGATGGCAAAGCGTACATCGGCGAGAGAAGCAATTGTACATACCCAACTTCAATTTGTACAATCATCTGTCAGGCATACTTATGATTGTGGAGGAAAAAAGTCAAATGAACATGGTGTGGTTGGATTGTCACAAGAAGGAAGGTGGGATACAGGAACAGATTCGGGAGAAAACAAGTCTCGGCACGGCACCGGGGTTGTCCATTCCAGCCATCCAACGTGCAGTACTTGTTTGATTCCCCATGGGAGCAATTTCTTGTTCTCTCGCGGAATTGATTCCCATGGCCAGTTCATCAATATTCAAAGGCCAACGTCAAGTGAAGGTAGGGGCTAGGCCCACCCTTGAATATGCCACTCATTGAAATTATAATCAAAGTGGAATCGGGCACCAGTGGATGCCAGCCTGCCGCAGGCCTGCAGCCCAAGTATGTTGCACATCTTCATTGCATCCTTCATGAGATCTTCGAATGTACAGCAGGTAATTTCCTCCATTTAGGATGCTACCAGTAAGATAGAATAGATTGGGTATCAACTCGGATTTTGAGGTGGGGAAGGGCCACGTTGTTGGACCGCCAAGGTACTTTGATTTCTGGCAAGGACACCGCAACAGGAATTTATTTTTCCCTGGCCATTTATTGGGAGGCAAGGCAAGGGAGATTGTGCATCAGATATTGAAGCAAGAGTATTGCACAAGATTTAATTTGAGGCGTCGAATAGGTGGAGAGGGTGGGGAAGGAGGCTTTGAGAACCCACTGAGGATGACATGGAAAATGCAACTTCAAATTCAGAGTGTCAGCATGAGAGAACTCAGATTTTTGTTTACATGAAGTCAAATGTAGGATGGGTTTGTTGTGTATGTACCTGGAACGAGGTGTGATGGGCTGCATGTGGTGAAGGGGTACCTTGATTGAGGAGGGTGGGAAAATGAGAACAGATTGACAAGGTGAGCTTGCTGGGTGAGATGCCAGAGGAAAAATCATAAATGAGAGGCCGGGAACATGGGATGGATGAGAATGAGGAGGTGCAGCAATGGAAAAAGAAAAAGAAAAGCAAAAAAAAAAAATTTCAAAAAACAACTAGTACTTGGAGTGGAACACTCCTCCACGAAGATTCCCTGCTGGATGACTGGATTAAATCAGAGGGGCCTGCGGGTTTTAGTGGGTATATGGCCCAACACTCAAAAATGAAGTAGGATAATAATGAGCACACAAGTGCATAGCTTACTTCCCAGCAACAGTTTTACCAGTGGAGTACTTTGCAGACTGGCTGGCATTATTATTATTATTATTATTTTTTGAGCGTTTGGGATAATGAGATTCAGTCTGCAGAAGCATTCCAAAAGTCATCTGCTGGGTCTACTAGGAAGTTCTAGTTAGTGCCGGGGAAGTTGTCCAGGGAGGAAATGCCATTACGCACAAGTACCATAGTGTGGGGCTCCAGCCTTCATAACTTATCCTATCCCATTTTTTGAATCGTCCAATCTCAACGGCTGTATACCCACTAAAACCCCCACTGTGTATGTCCAGTCATCCGGCAGTGAGTCTTCATTCATTAGTAGACCACTCCATGTCCGTAAGACAAGATCCTTATTCAGTGCAAGATTGTTGAACTTCAATTTATTGGTCAGAATTTGATCTCGTCCTAGTGCGGAATTAACAGATCTCAGCCACCTATTGTGAATCTCCACATCTGTTATATTTCGGTCTGGCATTATTTTAAACACTTCAAAAAAAAAAAAACACACATTCATTGCATGCTCGGTGAGAGTCAAACTCACATCACCTCCTTAGTATATTACCCAGTTCCAAATATAAGGAGGAGATCTACCACTGATCTACGAGAGCTTGATGGCCACAGTCTGAGTAAGATTGGAAATGGGCCGAGGCATGCTACAGGCACGGAACAAAAACAAAAAAACATTCTCAAGTGCTGTATCATAAGGAGGAGATCTACCACTGATCTACAAGGGCATGGGGTACAGAGTATGTGGATGGGGACGATCTGAGTAAGATTGAAAATGGGACGAGAGGCCTGGAACAAAAAAAAAAAATCACTGACTATCATGCCAGTCAAACCCACGTTGCCTCCTTAATATATTACCAAGTACCAATGGTGAGGAAGAGATCTACCACTGATCTACGAGGGCATGATAGGTACTGGAGTGGATTTGTGCCTGGAGTACTTTGCAGACTGGGGTCACATTATTTTAAACGCTCCAAAAAATGAAAAAAAGGAAAGAAAAATCTCTGCCACCCATGCCCTCGGTGGGAGTCAAACCCACATCGCCTCCGTAAACCTTTTACAAAGTACCATTCATTGTAAGGAGGAGATCTCCCACTGATCTACGAGGGCTTGAAAGTTGCACAGGAGTGAAATTGGGACGAAAGGTCCGAAACAAAACAAACAAAAAGCTTACTGTCAAAGACTATGCCCTCGGTGGGAGTCAAACCCACATTGCGTCGACAAATGTTGTTACGAATTACCGGACTGTGACGAAGAGATCTACCACTGATCTACAAGGGAATGATGGATGGTTAGCAGTGGATGGGATTTGAGTGGTGAGGAGAAGGAAGATAGATGAATGGGTTCAGGACCCGCGGAAATCAGAAGAGTCAAAAATGCACCCACATTGCCTACACAATTTTATGGCAGCAAAATTGAAATTCCTAAAGAAAACCCCTTAGTGTATTCCGAAGGGAGTCGGCATGCAAAGGGACCGGTGCCGGAGGTACGCAACCAAGAAGAAAAAAGGAACGGAGGTGCGTAACCAAGAAGAAAAAACAAAGGGAATTTTGTATTGTGCCCACGGTGGGAGTCAAACCCACATCACCTCTGGAATCATCCTGCTTAGAAGAGATCTACCGTCGATCTACGAGGGTGTGATGTGCAGTCAGTTGGCCTGGATTGGAATTGGAAATGAGACGAGCCTGGGACAGAAGAAAAAGAAGAATCTCTTCGCAAATCCATGCCCTCGGTGGGAGTCCAACCCACATCACCTCCGTAACATGACTACTGATAACAGCCGAATTGTGAGGAGGAGATCTACCGGTGATCTACGAGGGCATGATGAGCCAGTCGATGCGGTGGGTGATCTACCTTGATGGGAAGATGAGAACAAAGTGAGCTTACTGGATGAGATTGCAGTTGGAGGAAAAATGAGAAGCCGGGGAACATAGCATGGGATGAGGAGGAGGAGGAGCTGCAACAGAAAATGAGAAAGAGAAGGAAAAAGAAAGAAGCCAGAACTAAAGAAAAAGATATTTCAACCATAGTAATGCCCTACATGGGAGTCGAACCCACATCACCTCTGGAATCATCCTGCTTTTATCATTATAGTGAACGTTCGGTGTGATCCGCGATAATCAGTGATGTGTGCACCGGATCAAAAAACAACGCAGAGATCACACCTGAACGTCTGGGGCATTTCAGGGCCCACGAGAATCGGGTTCGGAGTTTGATACCAAATTCGGCCCACCCCAACCTCTTGTCCGGACTCTCCCGCGTCAAGACCGTCGATGTCTTGTCCGGATTCTGTATCACACCGTCAAATTTTGGTCAAATCCTGTCCGGATTCGGGCTCAAACCTCAAAAAATTCCAAAAAAATCGCAAAAAATTATATCGTTATGAATCTACATCGTCGCCCTCCTCGAGGTCCATTACATTCACATGCCACTGCTTTGCGCTTTGAAGAGCTGCGCATGGTGTTAATATAGTAATTCCACTCCGACCAAGAACCAAAGCGAAGACAATGGGTTCGGACCATGCCTATCCCATGCGAGCATTGTCCGGACTCGGTATGCAACCTTCACAAATTTCGGCCACCTTGTCCGGACTAGCGCATCCAAGTCGGTGGCCACGAGGGTCAAATTTGTCCGGATTCTGCTCAAAGGTGGGTCAAAATTTTCAAAATTTTGTCCGGATTATTGTATCAAACTGTGAAACCGATTCCCGTGGGCCCTGGCATTTCGTATAGTGTTACCCCCCATCGAGTCACGGTCCAGAAGTCACGCTTGAGTCGATATCGTGCAGAATGAGGAGTGAGGGGCCTTGCATGCCAAGATAAAGATGAAAACAAACATTTCAAATGTATCTGAATGAATTCCAATTTGTTCTCGAGTGCCGGGAGGTCAAGAGCAGATGCAGGAGAGCAAAAGTCATGTATTTTTGAGTGGCCCTGGGTGAGCCCAGAACATGGTAGAAAAAAATGGGGGAAAGCTCTGAGGCCTTCTATAATAGAGCTACTATCAGTGTAACCCATCCCCGTGCCCAACAGAGGGAGGGAGGGAGGGGGAATGGGGGGATGTGACTCGATGGGGGGTCTTACTATACGAAATGCCCCAGACGTTCAGGTGTGATCTCTGCGTTGTGTTTTTTGATCCGGTGCACACATCACTGATCATCACGGATCACACCGAACGTCTGGGTTACCGAGACAGATAGTGAGGAGATCTACCGTTGATCTACGAGGGCGTTATGTGCAGTCAATTGGCGTGACAGGCCTGGATTGGGATCGGAAATGAGACGAGCCTGGGACAGAAAAAAAATCTTCGCAAATCCACTATATACCCTCGGTGGGAGTCAAACCCACGTCACCTCCATAGCACGACTACGATAACAACATTGCGAGGAGGAGATCTACCGCTGATCTACGAGGGCTTGATGGTGTTGTTCTACCTTGATTGAGGACCTTGAGGAGGGTGGGAAGATGAGAGCTTACTACTGAGATGGAGGGATGAGATTGCGAGAGGAGGAATGAGCGGGAAGGATGGGATGGGATGAGGAGGAGGAGCTGCAACAAGAAAAAGCATAAAAAAACAAAAACAAAAACAAAAAAGATCCGAATGGCATCACTGCCCAGACTGGGAGTCGAACCCAGGCGCCTCCAAAAGCCTGTATTGACTACAGAAAAGAGAAGATGTACCGTTCATCTACGAGGGCATGATGTACAGTCCGGGGCGTGATGGACCTGGATTGAAAATGAGACGAGCCTGGAACAGAAAAAGAATGGACGCCGTCAGCATGGTCGTATGCCCTCGGTGGGAGTCGAACCCACGTTGCCTCCGTAATACTTCTATACCGTCCCTTATTGCGAGGAGGAAATCTACCACTGACCACTGATCTACGAGGGCATGATGGGTGCATACATTTACTATCTGTGGGGTGGATGTAAGGACATGGGATGATGGGTTTGAGAGGACGCAGAAGGGAAGGAAGGCGGCATCAGATGACAACGCAAAATTAAATATGTTGTGCCGAGTATTTTGAAAGGAGGACCCGAGATACGGAACGAGCCAAGGTTGAAAGGACATAAGTAGAAGAACCTGAACGAGGGAAAGTAAGGGTTGTTTGTCGCTATTACATCTCCATGCCGACGCCTTTTGATACGGCTTTCATCGCTGCCACCATGTCGTCCTCGTCGGTGGGCTACCCCCCGCCCGACGTCGCGCATGCCATCGCGCTCATCCACGCCGCCGCCGCCCCGCCCCCTCCCCCTTCTACCTCCTCCCAACCACAAACCTCACAAAACTCGCACGCGCAAGACGCCTACATCCACTCCATCCAAACCGCGCAGTCCGCCCTCCTCGCGCTGCAGCGCACGCCCGCCGCCTGGGGCCTCGTCCCCCCGCTCCTCTCCTCCGACGAGGTGAATGTACAGTTCTTCGGCGCGCACACCGCGCACGCGAAGGTCGCGCGCGGGGAGCTCGACTCGCTCTCTCCCGCCGAGCAGCTTCAATTACGGGACGTGCTGGTAAGGGAGGCGGGACGGGCGGGAAGGGCAAGGGTGGTAAGGAGGAAGCTGTATGGCGGGATTGTGGCGATTGCGGTGCGGCTGGTGCCGGGGAGGCCAGGGGTGTGGGAGGCGGGGAGTGGTGGAGAGGGAGGGGAGGGAGGGGGGTGGATTGGGGAGGTTGTGGGGGCGCTGTTGCAGGCAGGGGCGCCGAGCGCGCATGTGCATGAGTTTTTGGCGGGTGTTGCGGAGGATGTGGGTGCCGCGAGTTTGTTGCCGCAGGCAAAGTACGTTCATTTCATCTGTTTCATTTTATAGCGCTGTCTTTCATTCCTTCGCATTTTGTTTCCTTTGTTTCATTTTATAATGCTGTCTTTGTATTTTCTGTTTTTTAATTCCTTTCGCCTTGTGGGAGATGGATCTGGTCTTTCGGTTTCATCCTTTCGCGATTTCTATTGTTTTATTTCATCCGGGCGCTTTCACCCGCCATCCGTTGTATTGTTTCGCCTTGACCTTGTGCCCGTTATTTTCTGGTCGACATTTCTGCGGCCGTCTTCAATTCATTTCATTTCATTTCATTTCACTTTAGTTTCATTGATAGATTCTAACCTCTGCCTCCCAGGATCCAACTAACCCAATCCCTCCGCACCGCCGCGCCCCTCGTCCTCAACTCCATCCCCGCCGTCCTCTCCTCCCCAAATACAAATACGCAACCCCCAGACGCGCTCCCCGCTGCCCTTACGTGCCTCACCGCGTGGCCCCCCGCGGGCGTCCTCCCGGGGCAGGACGTCGCGCGCGTCGTGGCGCCACTTATTGCCCTTTTATCTGCGCCTACACAAGACCAAGACACCCACCACGCAGACGAGGCACGCACCGCAGCATGCACTACCCTCGCGGAGCTCCTCGCGCGCCCGCCCGCGGGGTGGTCCCCGAAAGTGCTCCTCGAGCCGCTCTTCGTCTGGGTGCTGCAAGCGGTCGCGTCGCTTTCGCCTACCTCTTTCTCGCAAGTGCAGCCCGCGCATTCGGACATACCACCACCCCGCAACGAGGCGAGGCGCCTGCGACGCGATATGCGGCTGCTGGTCGCGCTGGGCGACGCGGGCGTGGAGTGCGTCGCGGGGTGCGTCGTGGACGCGACGTGCGTTGCTCTTTCTCTCCCTTCCGTGACGTCCGTGGCGTCTGTATCTTCGCTCCCTTCCATGGGTGGGAGCATGGATATGGCGGGAAGCCGAGTATGCATATGCAAGGACAAGGCGGGACGGAGGGCGGGGAAGGCCCGGAGAGGGGGGAGCTGGCGCGCCACTTTTTGCGCGTGATGCTCGCGCTGGGGGGGCGGTGGATCGGGGTGGGGCGCGGTTGCGGCGTTCTTCACCTTCAGCTTCGGCTTCCCCTTCTTTGCCTTCTTCGCTCGGAGCGCAAGAGGGAGAGGGAGAAGATGAGGATGGTGTTGATGAGGATGAAGAGGACGAGGAAGGAGAAGAGGGCAACGGCGACGAGGGCAGCCTCGGGTTCTGGTATCTGGCGTTGTGGGAGGTTCCGGTGAGTGTGTTTTTTTATTTTCGATTCGGGGTTTTTTTTTCGATTTGCATTTTCGAGCGCAAGAGAGTGCCAGGCTACGCGTTTGAGAGCCTGTCTTGTCTTCCTTTCGGTGTAGAGGACGGGGATACGGATGCGGGTGCTGATAGAATGGACGCGGTCGGTGCTGGCGTTTTGGCGTTTGTGTCTGCAGAGAGCGAGATCGGGGACGCTGGGATGTGGAGGCGGTGCGTCTGCGTTTGACGAGCTGATTTATGGGCGTTGGGGATTTATGAGTGGGCGTTGGAGTGGAATTGGGTTTGGGGGCGCGCGGATGGGGCGTCTTCTCGCGGTGCTTCGAGTAGTATCGGACCGGCCTGCGGCTGGGGGTTCTATATCGGCGCTCGCTGGCGGGCGGGCGGGTGGGTGGCGCGGTGTTGTGACGCGGTGTTGTGACGCACCACCGCGTCCCGGCTCCCGGCGATGTATCCCATTCGCCCGCGGGAGAGACGAGACGCTAGGCGCTGGCCTGGGACGCCCTTCATTCTGGTCTTGGTCTTACCCGCGGAGATGTATTTATTCCTCGTTCCTTGGTTGGAGAATCCATCTAAATTCACGGGATTCTTTCCGTGAGTTGACTGTTCGCATTTCGGGCTCTTTTTTGTGCGCCGACTGGTCACATGCAGCCATGGTAGGTGACCTCTCGATTGTCTCCGCGACATCTTTGTTCAAGAGGAAATCTCAACATAATTTATCGACCCGGCGACAGAGTGGCCGAACTTTGATCATATTCATTCTCTTTCCTTCCTTGGTCGATCGATCTGAATTCGCTCTCGAGGCTTGAATATCATCTGCCACAGGATCCACTCATTTTCCCTGGTTGTGCGCATTTTTTCTACACTTGTTTCCTTGTCCTACCGAACTGAGGTCTGTACAGTAAAAACCTACGACAGTCCGTTGAGTTCCACACCTTCCCTTAACAGCAGGAAAGCACCTGGCGAATATTTGAACCATCCGAAGACCGGCTCGAAGCCCCGGTATGTAACAGCCCCTGACGTCCAACGCACCACCTTCTTTCCACCACCGAAACTGGAGACATGCCGCTGCGGCGTGATTTGGCGGTTGGCCTCTCGGAAAATAGAACTCAACGTTCCAACATTTCACCCCCGGTGCAAATTTTCCACACGCCCCAGGACTGACGACTTTGATCATTGTCTCGCCATTGAACCCCGACATCCTTATTTTTCTTCAGCATGGTTGAATACTTCTTCTGCTTGGGTACGTCCCTCACCCTGATCTTCCCAGTCTGCTCGCAACGACCGCTTCCGCTCTAGAATGCTGCAAGGTTCGTTAGCACCTCCGCCTCGGCTCTCCGTTTGTTTTTGTCGCTCCGTGTAGGGCTGTTGCGAATGTTTTGCAGACATCATTTGTGAGTTTTTCCTGTTCGCTCCAGAGCGAGTTCTGATTATTGTTTAGGCTGCCCGTGCCAGATGTGTTAGTGTCCGTCAGCTCTCTTCTGATGGAACTCGAACTTTGTACCATTTACATAATAATACCGCGAAAAATATTCGTCACTACTTTTTGTTGTGGAGTTAGTTGAGGTGAAAAAGGAGGAGGAGGATATATTACTGCAAGTGGTCCTTCGTCTGCAGTGGCTAGCTTTAGTCTGATAGTTATTGAGGAACCCTAAAAGAGGGAGAAATTTAGAAGCGCAGGATTGTAACGTTTTCCTTTGCACCCTCATTCAGCACAGGAATCCTCGACTGCCAGTGGATGTCTCTCTGTGCGCCAAATGCTTTGGGTAATACGAACACGTGGTCCCGCTCGTCGTGTCGCTCCCCGGTATCAGTAATAACCTCAACTTGCATTCCCGATTCATCTTGGGCCTCATCGTGCGATTCCCCGCCATCGGACATGATCTTGATTCATGCGGTTCAAACCGAATTCGTCGCAGACAATTTCATCCCACGAAGTCAGAGATTATAATGTAAACACAGTTTCAGACTCGTAGATACAATAATCAAATTGAGCAGACAGTGTTGATTTCCTCTATCGCTTCTATTGATAAGAAAACTTTATTGAATGTCACCCGCCTTTATAATCTCTGCGGCCCGCTCAGCCACCATATACGCAACTTTGGGGATACCTGTTAGCACTGCATGAATGTCAACGATTCGATTCTTGAACTCACGGGACACGGTGTGGATGCCGGGCAGGTTTGCGATGATGGAATTGTCCGCGACTCGGACATTACTAGTACCGTACTGGACCATCCAGTTAGTTCAGGGAGAGAATGCTGGAGGTGGTGACCAACCACAATGAGGGATGGATCCACGACGCCACCCTCCAAGCGCGGTGTCATCGCCGAGGTACCGACGAAATGATGCCTGCACACGGAACGTTAGTTGTGGGCGGGGATCCTGAGCTATCTGCTTTATGTCTCACTCAGAAACAGACGCGGTATTGACGTAATTGAGGAAATCTTCCTCGGTTTGCACGCTTGCGTCGGGGACGACCGGGCCTAAGATGAAGAGAACGAAATCGAGGCAAGGAAAGGGTTCTCAGAATACCCACCGACTATGATGCTTTTAAGAGGCTCAGTGTCGACGATGGTGCGTGTATACTGCACGCCTTTGACGAATGCGAACTTGAGGTATGGTTAGCATTTAAAGCATTTAAAGACTCAGCCCAGTCAATAATATCACTCACTTTGTCGTGCGGGGCGCTCAAGTATTTGGGATCAATGACAGGGTCGTCTAGGGGGTTGGTGGAATTTATGTGACCTGCGGTTGAATCTGTCCCCATTATCAATGTAGAATTACTCACGACAGTTCCGCGAGAAAGGGGTTTGACCAAGATCAGCCGGTCGAAGGTGAGAGTCGAGAC